TCATTTCATTATTATTATTATTATTAATGTTACTATTAATACCATGAGCTATTAAAAAATATAATTCATTTCAAATGTGTCCTGTTGTAACACATTTGTTAATTGTTGTCTCACATGTAGAGAGTGCACACTGCCCAGAGGAGTTCTCTCTGTGTATTTCAAACGGGGCAGTGGAATCACTGAGACGATTTAAACACAGCGTGCGATAAAAACATCCTCCAACCTTTCAATGAAAGGTTCAGGGAGAGCAAAGAGAAACGGGTGGATTATTTCCATCTGAAAGAACACGCCAAACAACACAAATGTGTTTCCAGGCACTCTTTTCAAAAGTCGCAACAGATGGAGACGGCTAGAGTCGACCATCCACTGCCACCGCTGCTGCTGCATTTCCTGTGTCTGCTGGTGTTTATCAGCTCATTCAGGTAGCCCGGAATTCATTATACACACACACTCACACATAGAAAACTGCTCCCACAGAGAGACGTTTCCCCAAGTGTGTGCCGTCTTTCACAGATTTCCATTTCTTGCAGCATTTTTAAATAGGAGAGAGACTTGGAATTTAAAAGCTGCAGAAGTGACTTATCTCTGCAGAGAGACGGGGACAAAGTGAGGACAGTAGAAGGAAGTTGGAGCGGTGATTGTGGAGGTAGAAATAAAGTGGAGTTTTACTCATTAAAGATTCTGTCGTTCACTTGAAACATTTTCTCTTTTTTATGGCAACAACTTAGTTCCACTGTTATTTTATATCCGAATTTTGTTGTATCTACTCGTACTACTACGACACTTCATGGTCATGTTCCATCATTTTGACGTCGACGGACGAATACGTCGTCATGTCATATGTTGTCGTTTTCAGTTAATGAATCTTTTCGGGAGTGCATGTCAAGTTGGAGGTTTTTGAAAAATACTATCTAAGTTAACCCAAGTGAGGGCTTCAGTTAACATGCGCTAGGCATAGACTACTGGGAGTACTCCCATAGTGTACATCGTACCTCTTTCTTCTTACTTTCTCTGTTCTCACTCAGAATGAAGGACCTGAAGCTATGTGATATTTGTGTATAAAGACGAAGTAGTGTAAAGGCTGATATTAGGCTTGGTAAAGTCCAAAATCCTTTGCAGTAGATTCTGGTAAACACTGTTTTAAAGTAAGCAGCACACATCAAATTCCATATTGAGGGGGCAAAATATTAGGAAAATAATTAACCATATAGGATCAAGGAATATGAAGCAAAGTAAAAAGCCGTAGGGACAGAAATGTTTTCACACCCCTGCACCCCTCGACCCACACCCCCTCAAATTGAAATACTTTTGAGAACCTGATAACATGTATATTTTTTATCTGTACAAAACACTTTATGAGTTGCTGCCACCTAGTGACTGGAGGCTTGTTATCATTATCATTCATTCAGCCCCTCCCTGTACATCATCGCGCCCCTCAGGGGGACCCGCCCCACTATTTGAATAGTACTGCCTAATGTTAACTTTAATTTGAAAAAATAGTTTAGCGTATTTTTATTTATTCAGAAGCAGATGTAACTAGATTTCTTTCCTCTTTTTTGGTGCCATTTGACAGATTTATCCAGAAGATAGCTGTTGCTCTCAGACTTTGGATACCATCCCTTAAATCCAATTTAAATGAAACAGCCTGAAGCACAGAGGTGACAGTGTAAAGAAGCAGATACTCACAGTACTGTAGATGAACCAAGGCTCCGAGATCAAAAGTGATGTGGGAAGACATGCAAAAAAAAAGAAGAAAGAAAAACAACATGTTGAATACTTTTGGATGGACTTGAGGGGTATTTTCCATCTAGCGTGTCTTACCTCAGAGAGGCCTGTGCTGCCAGCTCCCTCCAAGTGTAAACCGCGTACTCATACGTGTAAACTAAGCAAAATACACACATCGGGCAGTGGAGGGTGTGATCCAGTTTAATGTTCCTGGTTGCCTTTCTCAGTCTATGGAAAGTTCTTTTGACATGAATCCCTTTTTGGGGGGGCATGACTTATGGTAAAACATAAGTTGAAATTAAATGAAAGAGCAGGCGCCTCAGTGGAGGTGATTAAATCAAATGTGTCTAATCCAATGAGAATGGAGGGGCCTCCGAAGCCTAAGTGGAGGTGGTGACCTCCAACAGCCATATGGCTCTGCAGCACCCAGGGTCCTGGAGGGGATCCAGACAAGTTATCATTACTTCCTGTCTGTGTGTGTAGGTGCTGGCTGCTAGGTACAGGGGTGGGGTGGGGTGGGGGGTGGGGTAACAGCTGTCTCCTCCAGATCTCTTCAGGGGATGACTGACCTTATGATCCTCAGGGGATTTTTAAACTTTTTTTTCTTCTTTTAAACCAAAGGAAGCAGATGGTTAGCTTAGCTATCTATCTATCTGTCTGTCTGTTTGTCTGTCTATCTATCTGTCTGTCTGACTATCTATCTATCTATCTGTCTGTCTGACTATCTTCCTATCTGTCTATTTTTTTATCTGTCTGTCTGTCTGTCTAACTATCTGTCTATCTATCTGTCGGTCTATCTATCTGTCTGTCTGACTATCTTCCTATCTGTCTATTTTTTTATCTGTCTGTCTGTCTGTCTATCTGTCTGTCTGTCTATATATCTATCTATCTATCTATCTATCCATCTATCTATCTATCTGTCTGCCTGTCTGTCTATCTATCTATCTGTCTGTCTGACTATCTTCCTATCTGTCTATTTTTTTATCTGTCTGTCTGTCTGTCTATCTATCTATCTATCTATCCATCTATCTATCTATCTGTCTGTCTGACTATCTTCCTATCTGTCTATTTTTTTATCTGTCTGTCTGTCTGTCTGTCTATCTGCCTATCTGTCTGTCTATCTATCGGTCTGTCTGTCTATCTGTCTATCTATCTATCTGTCTGTCTGACTATCTTCCTATCTGTCTATTTTTTTATCTGTCTGTCTGTCTGTCTGTCTGTCTATTTATCTGTCTATCTATCTGTCTGTCTGTTTGTCTGTCTATCTATCTGTCTATCTGTCTGTCTGTCTATCTATCTGTCTATCTATCTATCTGTCTGTCTGACTATCTTCCTATCTGTCTATTTTTTTATCTGTCTGTCTGTCTGTCTAACTATCTGTCTATCTATCTGTCGGTCTATCTATCTGTCTGTCTGACTATCTTCCTATCTGTCTATTTTTTTATCTGTCTGTCTGTCTGTCTGTCTGTCTGTCTGTCTATCTGCCTCTCTGTCTGTCTATCTATCTATCTATCTATCCATCTATCTATCTATCTGTCTGCCTGTCTGTCTATCTATCTATCTATCTATCCATCTATCTATCTATCTGTCTGTCTGACTATCTTCCTATCTGTCTATTTTTTTATCTGTCTGTCTGTCTGTCTAACTATCTGTCTATCTATCTGTCGGTCTATCTATCTGTCTGTCTGACTATCTTCCTATCTGTCTATTTTTTTATCTGTCTGTCTGTCTGTCTGTCTGTCTGTCAGGATTTGCCATCAACATGGCAGAAGGCCCAAATGCAGTACTGAAGAGATTCTTTCTGGTGCAGGTAGTTTATCTGAAAAGTGCAAAACCAAAACAAGAAAACTTACTTCTTCACAAGGCTGGGAAAGCAGACGAGGTATGAACTATGTACAATCAAAGAACTTGAAGCATAAACTGAGCTGAGCACAGGAACATACTTGACCAGATACACACATCAAGAGACACAGGTGAGGGTGCTGACACTGATTACCCCACACGGCAGGAAAAGGGAACAGACAGACCTGACACTATCTATCTCTCTATCTACCTACATTTATGTTTATTTAAGGGAAATAATATTAGACCCAATGTTCTGTGTCCTCATAAAACATAAAATAAATGATCATTATCTCAGTGGACAACAGTCAGTGTGTGTACGAATGTGTCTAATGTCTTAAAACTAGCTGCTCCACAATCTCCACATTTGTTTTTCTCTATTAGCTTCATAGACCTTAAAGGAAGAGTTTAGTGTTTTGTGCAAATATACTGTTATTTTGTATCAGCACTGACCATGAAGCTCATCTTTTCTGTCCTGTAGGTGGTGCCAAGTACGTATTAAACAGCCCTGTTGCATGGTTCACATCAACTGGTGCTTTGTTTTATACATACTCTTTCACCAAAAAACAAAACAAAAAACAAAGTAATTAATAATAAACAGACTGCACAGAATAAATGATGACTATTAAATACACGTGCAACGTGTTCCTGGAGCTCTAGGGGTCAGTATGTAGGTGTTTCTTGTCTGTGAGTGATGCAGTTCAGAAGGTTCATCCATCAAGTCCGGGATTCCTGACATTAAAGTGGTTTTTGATTGACAGCAGCTCATCCTCAAAATGCATCTTCTTACTGGGGCACTCTGTAAACTCCTCACACACACACACACAGACGCACCCTGAAGTGTGTGTGGTTACATTGAACCACGTCCACTTTTGCTCACAATACTTGCATTGTTAATATTCTCCCCCTCATACCACAGTTTGAGAACCCCAGATCTGTGCTTTGCCACAATTCTGTCTCTGAGCTCTGACCTCAGGATTCTTGTTTGCTCTGACATGAACTGTGAGCTGTAAGGTCTCTTATATAGACAGGCGTGTGGCTTTCCTAATCAAGTCCAATCAACCCAAGCTGAACTCCAGTGAAGGTGTAGAACCATCTAAAGGACAATCAGAAGAAATGGACAGTACCTGAGTTAAATATATAGAGTGTCACAGTAAAGGGTCTGAATACTTCTGACCATGTGATATTTCAGTTTTTCTTTTTGAATAAATTTGCAAAAATGTCAACAATTCTGTTTTTCTGTCAATATGGGGTGCTGTGTCTACATTAATGAGAAAAAAATGTATACTTGTACGGCCACACCAGCAGCAGGATGGATAACTGGGTTGGGTTCATATCCCAAAGACTCCTCCGACTCACGTGCAGTCTCAGGTGAAGGATGGTGTAAAAATGTTGACCAAATATAGTAGTGATTGACCAAAAAGACAGTAAGGATTTATTTGGACTATTCCACAGTTACTGAAAACTGTAGCTAAACATCTTCAGCTGTGATAAACAGCAGGCAGAGGGAAAAGTAGCTCTCTGTTTTTTGGGTCTCAGGGGTGATTTTGGCCCAGGATCCAGTTTCCCCACTGGGCAGAGAACAGATGCTTCAGCCAGTTGTTCTTTTGTCCCGTTACACTTCTTGCAGAATTAAAGCGGAGCCAACACCTGTTAACATTCCTCAGTGGAAGCGACGGGAATACTGCGAGGGGAAAAGAGAAGCAGTGTTGAAATACGTTTTTGTGCGGAGGATTTAGACTTTTCTCTCTTTTTGTTGACATGAAAAAAAAAACAGATTCACCAACAGTGAAGAGTTCAGACAGTTTCACACTGTAACTGTCGTGACAGGGCTGTGATTGGACACGTCTTCGTAGTTCATCACAGTCACAGTGACTGATGCGTTTTCACAGGAAAACACCCACTCAGCAGATTTTAAGTCACTGGCCAATCACCATAGATACCGTGGTCTGCCTGGGACATTTGATGCACATCTTTTTATTTGTATTTTCACACGTGAACATTCTTACATTGAGACATATTAGCCAAACGAGCGTCAATGATGGCTATTGTGTTCTTCTGGGATGTTGGAGGTGGAGATGGCTGTGGGTGTTACCCAGCTCAGTGCAGGGACGCCTGCATTGGGCGCAGCTGTGCTGGGCTGTGGAAAGGCTCTGATGTCATGTATAATGAGAGTCCACAGGGATGCAGGGATAGAGAGAGACGAGGGAAGAGTGAGGTACTGTAACCAGATCCCTGCTCTGTGTCACACTGCTGTAGGTGCTGCTCACACTGTAGGCAAAAGGTTAACGTGAAGCCACCTGCTACAAAAAATACAACACATTTGACACTGCAGCCTCAAGTGTCAGGATTTGATTTTTTTTTGTGGGGGGGTTGATTTTTTTATATATTACTCAGAAAACATCATGCGGTAAAGAGTTAAAGTGGATTCCTGCATGTTCAATTAAAAGCATGAAGAAAAAGAGGAGGCTGACAGATACTGTGACTTAATACTAGGTAATATTTCATGGCTGGGTTATGTGGCGACACTCCCTGCTTTATGGAGCTGGCCTGGATTATTTAGTTGGACCAGAGTCCTGCCCAGAGAAACAGCTGTATGATGTCATGCAAAACACACGAGCGTTTTAAGCGGCCGCGCTCCGGCCTCACGGTTTAGAGGATTCTCGAGATGTTTGTAGGATTTGTTGAGTAGATGTTTTCGTGTGGTTTTGCAGTACGGTCAGATAGACAGATGGGCCGAGAGTGGAGGTGGGTGGTGGCAGTTTTGGAGACGTAGATGCGTGCATGGTAAGATGGAGGTGGGTGTTGTGAGCTCTCAGTTCGCCTGGATGAGCCGACCTCACCCGGGCATACGCTCGTGCAAATGTGTGGGTCCACGTGCCCACACTCACGTGTGTTTGTCCAACGTGGATTGTGTCCGAACAGATCAATGTCGGCTCCGGTCTTAATGGATAGAATCAGGTTCTAACTCACCTCCTCCTCCTCCTCTTCTTCACTGCTGCACAGAATGGAGCGTGTTAACGTGCGAGGCCCCTGCTTTTCTCTCCTCCATATAAGAACCTAAATATGGAAACAATGATTGGAAATTGTTTAGACAATCTGAAATGGTTTATCCTGAGGCTGTGCACATAAGCTTGCAGATCAAAGCAGAGGAAACATGAATCAGAGAGAGTTTTAGCGCGGAAACCAAACCTTTGCCTTTCTTCCTTTTGACATAAAGCCTGGCAGGAAAAAGAATATTGAGGAAAAACAAAAAGGCTGCCTCTGTGAGTTGGCTAGCACCAGCGCTGGTGTTTGATCATACTGTTCTTGACTTGATGCTGTGACTCCACACCCACGAGTAAATTGCCGTGCATTAATGAAGAGTGCAGAGTCACCGGGAAGAAACACAAACAAGCACGGCCCGGTTTTTTCTTTTCTTTTCCAATTTTTTTGGCTCCACACCTCACTTTCTCTCCCTTCCTTTCATCAGCATCTTTCGCCGGACTACACAGCTCTGCTCGGGAGCAGCATTTGTCACAGTCTGCCTCCTTTGCTCAGCGATAAATGATACTCCGTCTAAAGAGCATCACTCTCCTCCAGCCGTCTCCTCTTTCCTCCTCCTAGGACAGGCCAGGACAAGTCCTGCATAAAGCCAACACAAAAATAAAAATAAAACACTCCTTGTGGTTGCTATCCTTCACAGCTGATACTGCTTTTATGAGCATAGACTTACAGCCAGTGTATGGAGTTTCAAACCATCAAGCACACTGGTTGATATAAACTTCAGCAAATGTAGGTGTCAGTAGATGAGCATTTTGTTCTGTGGATGAAATCCATTTTTTCAAAAATCCCTGCACTGGTGTTCCACTTAAGTTAAAAAAAGGCAGAGTACTGTAGGTAAACTGGCTCATCATCACCATCTTAGAGAAGTAAAGTCATTTTTCCTGGCCCAGATTAAAGGAACAGGCTGAAACATATTGGTCTCAGCTCCACAGACGCTGATGGAGTTTTGATTGCAGTCCCTTCGACGCCACCTCCTTCAACGTCTTGTGAATTTTCCTCCTCTCTCTCACATCACAGAGGCGGTTCCACGTCAGGCCCAGAGACACAAGTTCTATTCCTCTGATCCCTCCCTGCAAAGGCCAAGTCGGATTAAAAGCAAAGCACCTTTTGAAGGAACTTCACAATCCTTTTGATGGAACACTGACTTCTTTGATTTACACTCCCTCCCAGACCACCTCTGCTTCTGTGACTTGTAGCCAAAAGGTATTCAGTCTACCTCTGGAAGAAAGTACCGATGAAGGGGCTATTGTAGCGCTGAGCTGTTGATCGAATAACTCTGTTATACTGTTCATAGCTCCTAGTTTAGGTGAGGTTAGGTTAACAGCAGCATACGAACCTTGAATCAGAGGAGAGTTTGAAACCTGGTTTGTAATTCCTCTTTTGTTTGTTTGCGCTGGAATCTGAACCATCTTTAATCCAACGGTTGCCTCTAATTTAGCCCGACAAGGGTGTTGAAGTCATCTTAGGAGAATTCTCTTTACCAGGAGCCACAACTAAGGACAAGCAGAAAGTGACAATAACATTAATCAAACAAAAACATTCTGGAAGTTTCTGAATGTTTGAGGATTCTTCACTTGGGCCTCACAGTATCAATCTGTTGCTTTTGTATTAATTATTTCTATAATAGAGAGAGATTGGATTCTTTGGAGGTTTAAAGCATTGTTTCCCAAAGACTGGGTCACGACCCTCAGGTGGGTCGCAGAGGTTTGTGACTTTTAAAACACTGGTTTAAAGGGTGGAGGGCTGTGTGAGCTGCCTCTGTTGGGTGTAGCTCTGCTGAAGCCTGTCTCTTGATTCTTCCAAGCTAGAAATGGCACAAACTCCTACAAGGTCACTCAAAGCGTAGATGACATAAACTGGGGAGGAGGGAGAGAGCATACAGTCCAGACGTCAGTGATGTCACGTTGACGGGTGCTGAAGGCCGGTAAATGGTTGAATAAATAATGAATAAGTCCATATTTCTTCACACCTCTTCTCCCATCTGTGGGGCAGAGAGGAGCGGCTGACTCACTTGTTTCAGAGAAGTGAGGCTGCAATGGTGTCGCCATTGGCAGACCAATGACAGAGGCGGGATGATGTCACGGCTCTGACACATCGCTCCGAGCGGGCACGGGCAGAGGAGCAGACAGCGCTGATGTCAGCAGGTGATGATGTCACAGTGAGAACACATCTTCCAGTGAGTGATGTCACAATGACCTTGTCCAACTAAATACAGTACTACAACATACTGCAAACGCACTGAGACGTTGTTGTTCACTGTATATTTGTATTGGGTTTTGTTATGAGGTAAAAATCCACAGGACTGAGTTGGTGGGGTTAAAAAAAAAGCCCTGAGAAACAAGCACACTGCCAAACTTATTTCACAGGGAGTTGCTCAATGGACCAACAGTCAAGGAATGATTACAGCAAAAACATTAAATAGGTTTGGAACAGTACAGACACTAAATCAATGTCATACAGTAAAAAATAATCAGAATCAGACTACAATGGACTTTATGACTGTTTTAGTTTTGTTGTTTCAATTTTATGTTTCTGACACAGCAGATTGATTGTAAATGTAAAAATGCAGATGTGTAGCCATTCTAATCTGCTGTGATAGTTCTAGAAGTTGAACTCTACAGAACGTGTGAGGCTCCTTCCTATTCTATTGGAAATGACAGCCTAAAGAAGACCATAAGCTTTTTTTATTACTATACTTACTTGAATATATGATTTTAATCCTGTTCCCATTCACTGAAAAAAAAAGATAAAGCACAATTAGAAAATGGTGCATACCAGTGTGTATGATGGAAGTCTGCATCAATTAGCGGTGTTAGAGTGTTTGCAGGTGACTTTCTCTCGTCTGTGTCACCCTGTTACAGAATTGTTTGATAATCAGGCAACTGTAAAGAGTTTATCTTAGTCGAGAAACAATAGTGAAGTTTACAATGTCTGATTAAGTATTATTACATTATCAAGGCAATGTTAATGTATTTATAGTTTGATGAATGGACAGTCCATTCATCAAACAGTTTACCACAGGTATCTGCGTGCACCTCACAGATGAGCTCTCCGAGTCTCGGCCCGTGTCGTGTACTCTCTGGATGGTTCGTTTCATGGTCGCTCATACGAGGCATGAAGGATTTAGCAGCTGATTGTTCTACTTCCTGCACTGCTCAAGTGAAGCAGGTTGAGCTCTAACCCGCTTAGTCTGGAGAAGAATTTCTCCTTTGTGCCCGAGCGACTGCCTGCTCCATGAGACCGAGGCTCAAAGAGACTTGGCCCGTGACCCTGGACAGGTGTGTACCCCCTCCCCCCCCGCCCCTGCCACACATGCGCAAACACACACACACATAGACATACGCACACACTACATGTCCATAGAGCTTCTCAGGTTCCTTTGAAATTAGAGAAGGGCGAGAGATTTATCATCTGAAAAATCATGAGGTAACGACACACTTAACTCCCTGGCGTGTGTGCATGAATGTTCACTGGTGCGTGTGTGTGTGTGTGCGCGCGCTGTTATACGTGTGTTCCCTCCTGTTGGCATGTGAACAAAATCCAGCCGTGGCGTCCCTCCCCCCTCATCCCCTCTCCTGTCTCTCCCTATAGCCACTCGGCAAGTTTTGCCTTGCCTCATTTGCTTCCTGGTGAAGGGGCTGATTAAATATTTAAAGTATGGAGTACTTTCACTTGGCATCAGGTGTAACTCACTCCTGTAATCTCAGGAAGCATGGTGCAAGGCACAGTAATTATAGTGGGGTTAGCCGTATAAGGCGAGGTGGGGGCTACGACAGCCTTTGTTGTTTATGTCTGCCCACAGGTTTATAGGCCTGTTTTCACTTTCTCTTACTTCCATGTGCAGGCAAACAGCCTTTTTTTTTTTTTTTTGCATCCATTCATGTGAGAATTATAATGTTTTGTTTCGGGGTGCCTGGCTGCATGATGATTGTGTAATCACTATGCAAAGATTGCATTTAGTACAGCCTGTCTTTTTTGTTTCAGTACAACCAGCATGGTGCAAATCTTCCACCTGTTAAGTTGTAAAACATATTGATGGATGAAGCTCGGGAGAAGCTGTTTTGGTATAATGTGATCACAAACAGCCTTTAAAAAAAAAACAATAAAAAATTCTTTACCTAGTGGTGTTTATTATCACTCAACATTTCCTCTGAGGAAAACCACCTGTATTTTTTGTTAATGGTAGTTTGCTGCAGCTGTATGTGTATATATGTATATGTGTATATAAACCTCCTTACTAATAATCATGATCATCAACATTATCATAACAACACCATCATAATAAACATTAAGTAGAGCCGCCAATAGAGTTAAAACCACTAACACCTATACAACCTATGTGCAATGTAGAGCAGTGCAGCTAACGTTACAAAAAAAATTTTAATAAATTTATTTGATGATGTGCAAAAGCAGTTGCTATCTCAACCTGCCCCGTGTGCCGCCAAAAATAAAAAATAAAAACACATTATAAACTTGCATGACTTTTGGATAAGTGTTGGTAGTTTTGCCACACTATATATGAATATATATATGTATATACACATATATACACATATATACACATATACATACTTATATACATATGTACAAATATACGTATATATACATATATAATTTCTTATTATGTGATAATTTTATAATAATTAAAGTATTTTTATATTCCATTCAACAGGAATTATTAATATCAATAATAATTTACAAAACACTCATTCAACACATTTTCTGTTAAGACTTAAACATGTTCATAGCTTAAATGCAGTGTTCTTTGAATTTCTTAAAAAAAATTAATACAAATATTTACCAAATATGCCTCAATTTTTAAATAAGTGACAATAACTCTTAGTCACTCAGACTCAGATCTACTACATGTCAGAACAATCACATACCATTGAATTTGGTCCTGTAAAGCCCGTTGACAGCTTCCTGTATTCTTTACAACCAATTCACCCTCAGCACTGACTCAAAGCCGAAGAGACTTGAAGGGAAGAACAATAGATGGCAGTGTTAGGCACCTCCAAATGTTTGTTCCTGTGCTGAGTAGACGATTCAGGAGCTGTGAGAAAGTCACAGTGGGCGGCTGTGGAACATCAAAGCACACACATACACTGAAGACCAGGATAGAAGTCTAAATGTGTGTTTGTGGGAGCAGTGAATTGTCATGTTAATCCATTTAGGTGTGTTCCTCCTCAAAAAAAAAAAAATCCTTTGACTGTAAGACGAGTAATAAAGCCAACATGCACGCTTTACCTTAATCCTACGCACTCTTAATTCTCCCTCTAATCTGACAGATTTACAGCCTTTTATTACCTGAATATACCGCCCTCCGCATTTTTCACCTCCTGCCGAATCGAATCCTTTTGGGAGGTGTTGAAGTTCTTCTCAGTTTCTAAGAGCGTGTTATCTCAGACAACAGCTGAACAGTCTGTGGAGAAGGTGAAACGTTAGCTCCAACCAAAAACATGAAGGCCTTTCAACTTAACTCCTGGTTCTAAAACACATCTCCTGTGCAGAGGCGGAAAGTAACACATTACATTTTACTCTGTTACTGTAATTGAGTATTGTATTTTCCTATTGTATTTTGAGTAGCTTCACCAAACAGTAAAAGTTACCCAGTTGCATTTTTCTGGGAGGTTTAACACAAAATATTCACTTTTTTATTCACTGTTTTAGGGCATAATCTTGCATTTTGAGGCATTTCTGGGATTTTTTTAAATTATTTTTTTGTGATAGTAAGACTAAAGTTTTACCTGTTTTTGGTGATATTTTGACATATTCAGATATGATGTTTTTTGGAGTTGTTAGCACAAATTATTGACTTGGCAGCATGTTTTGGGGCATAAACTTGCATTTTTTTATCTATAGTAAGACATGCATTTTTAACTGTGAAATGCAGTTTCATTAACTTCCTATTCTTTAGCCCAGACTTTGCATTTACAGAATCACATACATTTGTTTGTGTGTAGCCATTTAAAACAGTTAAAAACACCAACCTCCATTCATGGTGTTGGTCTGGTCTCTCCATGTTGATCCTGCAGTACAAAAAAGTTTCTTATGTCTTTTTGATGCTGAGAAGAATATGAATGGATTTTTCTGGCTTTGAAATAAACAAACTCTTTAACTGTATCCACAGCGGGGAGCAGCTTTCTGCACAGTGTACTGCAGTGATCCACCAGGGTTTCCGAGTCATGTTGGGTGCGTGGTGAGGCTTCTCTCAAACACAGCTGGAGCCGTCACATATGGGAATGTTCTAATTTTTTTTTCACATGCGTGTGTGGATTGTAGGCATACCTGCTGTAGCCTTGAAGATTAATGAAAAGATCATTAAAGATTAATTACGCCAGACTGAGACACCTTTGTGATGCAAGTGATTGACAAAGGTTCTCTCGGAGAGGAGAGGGAGAGGGAGAAAAAACATATCTCTGCTTCAGCAATTTAGTTTCGTTCTGACTTTTTGCATTGTCTCAACTGCACCGTGATGGGTTTTTTCCTACATGTGCTTCAAAATATGATAAAAAAAATCACTTGGGTTGTTGCTGAGTGGGTGGAGGTGAGCTTTTTCGTTGACATGCTTGTGTGAGAGATGCTTGTTTTCCCGTAACTCTTCGGGGGATTCCCCTCCTCTCCTCATCTCTCTGCTGTACACCAGCATCATCGCTCCGCTGACGGACGTCTCTGTTTGGCATGTGCTCATATATTTGGCGCCTACTGTGCCCGCAGCCATGGCTGTCAGGCCCAGTGCCTTCCAAGAGTGCGGAGGAACATTATATTTCACATTATCTCAGTACAATAGATCATTTCCTGCTCACTGCAGGCCACGGAGGCTGATCGGTGGTTGCCAAGCTCCGGGAAAGCAGCGCTGGAGAGTTTGGCGTCTAAGGGGGGGGGGGGGGGGGGGGGATTATTGGGTAGGTGTTGTAAGAGTGAAGGCGAGCTGAACTAACCTACCAGAGAGTGAGATTTAAGATATGATCTGAACAAAAACATGTGTCCTTACTTAAGTACCAGGGACTTATGTAGGAAACACCGAACTGTCGGTACTGATTTTACTTTAGCACAGATGTGTATTTTACTGTTACAAATAGGTTTATGATCTGGTGTTCAGCGGCGCTTTGGCCCAGAGGCAATGTCTCTGTCATTGGTGTGGAACCCCAGGGTTCACCTCCTGGGCAAGATCGATTCCTAGTTAGGGCGGTGGGCCCCTGCCAGTGGACTCACCACCCACAGGTTCGGTCATGGAGACTGCTGCCGTGACCCGATAACAGATAAGCGGATGAAAATGGATTTTCATCACATTTTATTTGAAGCAACATTAAATATCATACCCTTATGTACATCTGTAAATGTCCAAGCTGTGAGAAAGCATTATATGAACTCACCTCCTGTCATTGGTCTGTGGACCTCTGACCGATCCTTAAGAAGCTCCTGCCCAGGTTTATTTCTTCTTCTTCTTCTTCTGCTGATGTGCCTGGTCATCGAAACAAGGTGATTAAGTTCACGTTATCCCATAATTCAGTCTTATCAGTCAGTTTAACATCAGAATGTCCATCTATGTCTGCATAATTCTACAACAGTAGACTTTCTGTGTGGAGTGCCCCTTTCTTTCCCACCCCACCCCCCTTCCCCAGTTGGTCATTTTTATTTTCAAACGGTTTGTTTGTAAAATATTTAAAATACTATTTTGTCTAGTTTAGCAAGATGTTCTGCGTGACATTTTTCAAGACAGATTTCGACACACAGTTACATGAAAAACAACAGAGAGAGAGATCAGCCAGGGTCACCGCCTCACTCCCTGCCCCACCCCGATCGGTCCGGCTATTTACCCTGAGCACCAAATATCTTGCAGCCTTCAGAAATACCTTTTCACTGAGTACTTCTTTCCTCTCCCTCACCCCTTTCTTCGGGTTGCGTAACCACTCTTGTGTTGTATTATTGAAACGTTTGGCTCTGATTAGTGCAGCAGATGAAACGGCTAAATGCTAATGTGAGATTTCCCAGTGGGCCGCCCACACTTCGTGGGCTGCAGGTGTTTGCAGGAAAGGTATTTGCATCACTGCCAATTATGCCCAGCATTGTTTGTTTTCCTTGCTACAAATTGAGCTCCTATACGTTTGCTCCTGATGGCTGGTAAGGTAATACAACACACCTTTCCTTCTACCAGGAGGCTATGAACTGGTGAAATCATTGAATATGAAAAATGTCGGGGGGCACTAGAACCATTCTTGGCTCCGCCGCAGTAAATAACATGGTATTGATTATCTTGATGGACACTTACCCTCCTACGTACCAGCCCTGGGTCGCAGGTCTGTTGTTTTCTCCTCAGTAAAATGTCTGATACATGAGCATTTACTTCAACAGTTGAACGTCGAAGGTCAGGGGTTATTCTACTTCTGCTGACGTTGAAATATGGTTCTTGAAGCTCTGGCTCGCTGACGACTTCCAGCTGTAGCCCTGTAAGAAAACAAAGTTTACTTGAGGATTGTGTTCTCTGATTGAATTGAAATGGTGTGTAGCACAGGTAAGGAGCAGCCATGATCTCATTATCATTATTATTATTATTAGTTATACAATAATAATGATGTAATAATAATAATACAATGCATAATTATTATTAATAATTATATATATATATTTTTAAATATTTTTATGTTTGGACTTTGCCAGAATTACACACTAACACAAAAAGATTTGTTGGAGGGAGTGATGCATAAAGGGGAAAGGAATTTTGGAGGGACATGTTTGTGAATGCTTGAGATAGTGTTTGAAAAAAAAAAGTGAGTCATACAATAGATGCTGAGCAGAAATGAGGATGGGCCTAAGTGATTGCGATGATGATCTGGAAGGCTGTCCTCCCCAAGGGGAGACACTGAGCCGAGTGTCTCCCCCCAGCCAGAATTTGGCTAGAGAGACAGGGTTGGAGGTATGGATACTTTTTTTTACTCTATTTTTTTAAATACATCACACACAGACATCCTCAAAAAAAACAAAACTTTCTGACACTGCTTGGTCTGGAAACAGCAGGCTTTTCTGTTTTAGTTGCTTTTTTTGAAATTTTTATCACTGTGTGTGGATTCAAAATGGGAAGTTGGTCATTATATACATTTACATTATGTATTATTTTAAATAGATGTTATTATTTAACTTAATCATTTGCAGCCCTGCTGGCAGCCATATTTACATCTAAAGTCAGGGTCAGGCTTAAAAGATTAATAATTAATTAATAACAGGACCAAAATTATTCCTTTTAATTTATTAAAAAAAAAAAAATTTAAAAATACTGCCCAGGGCATCTTATAGCCAGGAAAAAATAAAAAATAAATGAAACAAATCAGACGGCTGCCTACTTGTCTACCTTGTTTGCTTTCGTGCGACAGCTAACAGATACCCCCTTGTTAGTGTTTGTGACTGTGTGTGTGTGTGTGTGTGTGCGTATTCATTAACCTTATTTGTACGCCTGCTCAGTAAATGTAGGTTACTGATCATGCAGACGTAATTCCCTAAAGGCAGAGAACAGCATTATCATCCAGTTATCTCCTCACATTCCCTGGAGCCACGATGACTGCAGAAAGATGCTCTCTGTTCTCCGCGAATTCCTGCGGACACCCACACACGCTCACATGATAAACCACACACACGCACAGACAGATGTCATAAATAGAAGAAGTGAGGACAAGGAATAAGGACGGGGCCACCGTGACGTAACAAACGTACCTTTTTTTTCTTTTTAATTTTCAATGTCAACTCCCAGTTATCCTTGGAGACATGACTTCATTCACATACCCAGGATTGGCAGAAATGTCAGAGTCAGGTTTTGACCTAAAGCCTTCACACACTGGCTGTATGAAGATGTACAAGCTGTAAATACAGAGAAGGGCAAAGAATTGGAACAGATTGCAGCAGTGGCCCCCGGGGGATGGACGTACAGCCCACTGAACACTGACATCACTTGACCATCTGGACCAAGAGAGATGCTCAGCCTCCCCTGAGCAGAGTCACCTCTGAGGAGCTGTGGTAAAAGCATAGGTACTGTACTGTAGACTCACTTGAAGCAAAGTCACCAACACACGTTAAAGTCTGTTGGTTTTCTCTAATAGATTGGTAGAAAATAGCAGAGGACTGTGTGAAATAATGGAAATGTTGCTGTTGAAACTGTTTATATTGAAGAACAGAAATAAAATAAATTAAAATATAAAAAAATACAACCTACTTGAGTTCATCCGTTTATCTGTCCGTATGATTGAGACAGAGGGTGGTGAGCTGGAGCCTGGTGTGGTCATCAGAAAGACACATATAAGACATGTATTCACATTAACATGTATTAAAGGAGGCTTTTAAAAATACATTTGTGAAACTGTTGTGCAAGAGACAGAGAATACTACAATGTAGCCCACGAAGGCACAACACTGGGGTTTATTGACCTTTAGCCTAAAGGCCTGGTCAGTGGGAGGGGCCTCTTCTTACTATTGCTTACAATTGTTTAGATTTTTAAGTTTCTTCAAAGTAATAAAGAAAAATGAAATAAACATGTTAATAGGACTCTGCAAACTTGATTATTATTACCACGTAACACAATTTACCAGAGTCTAAGCAGCGACCTGACCCTTAAAGAAAAGAAACAAATTGTTTTTCCTTGTAAAATATGCATGTCCAGTTTCTTGCATTTATTCAATTACAGACCTACTAAAAGCTTATGACTGCATTTTGGTGTTTTATCTGTCATTACAAAGACAAAAAATAATAATTTTTTTAGAGAAGAAAATACTGTTTCAAATGGAGCAATGTTTTCAAGAGGCAGAGGTTTGGTGGGTTCTCCTTACAGTAAACATCTGGATGACCAGTGATGTACACTTCCCCTATAAAAATACAATACAAGTTTAAAGAAAAAAAACTGTACTTACTCCTTTCCTGTAGAATTCTGGAAAACATCCTTCTTTGCCTCATCTAAAGACAAAAATCAATTTATTTTCAGATGTTTTTTACAGATTTAAAGATTTTATGTTGATTTTAAATAATTAAAAAAAAATTAAATGTAACACAGCTCACTACTGGAAGGAGATTTAAGGTTAAAAAAATGACAATTTAAAAATTAATTCAGTCTTAACACTTTTTGACTTATATATACATATATCCAATGATAGTCCTTAAGACTGGAATTCAGGTTGACTATAATCAAATTCAAAATGATCTGTGTCTCGTCACTATGTATTCAACCTTATAGAATTATTATTACATTAATTAGTTCTCTATTACATTTTAAATAAAGTTATTTTAGGAAAATCAGGAATCAAACTAGCAAACAACGTGTTCCAATGTCTGGCCCACTTACAGGTTGATATTCAACTTTATGAACTTCACAAAAAAAGAAGAAAGAACTAGGTTTTCCTCTCTGGGCTTTGGAATCTGCAGTGATGTACCTGCATCTGCATATCCTCCTGAGGTGTCTGCTCCTCCGTTCCATTTAGAGCCACAGCCTGGCTCAGATCGAAGCCTCTCTCTAGCCGCTCGCCATCAATTATTAACCTGATCAGCTCTGCTTCATTAGATGACTAATCTGGGAGGGTGGGGGCAGATGGGACACCTGAGACCGAGAGGCAGCAGGGGAAGGAAGGGGAAGGCAGATCAGATCTCCAAGCTGAGGGATGGAAGCAGAGTTCACAGATGTTGGATTACTGATTTGTACATCTAAGTCCTGACTTTTGGAGGCTTTATAAAAGCTTGATGAAAGCGCAGACTCACTTTGATGAGTGGACGCATGCTTCAGCATCATGGTGCACATGCTGACATGGGCTTCATGGGTGTTAGTGTGCACAGACAGAGTGGCATCAGATACCGCTTGACCACTGCAAAGCCAGGAGGCAGGAGTGGGAGAGCGAAGGGCGGGTCGTACTCTCATTACACCCCCAGCTAAGTTGATCGAGAGACCTTTCTAATCTAGGTGGGTCGCATTTTTACCGCCCCATAAATCTTTCCTCGTGCTTTCCACATAAGACGCCACTTTGGTTATTTGAGGTGCCGAGTGTGATTCTTGGCGTCAAGTTTCCAGTCTGCGTGAAACAAGAAAGGAAAGGTTACGAAAACATTCTCTAGGAGTTTTATCAAATGAACATATGCAGTACAAGGTAGAACAAAGAAGTTTCCAGAAACATCACCCAGGACTTTCTTATACTGCAGGGTATACAGGGTTTTTCTGTATGTGTTATTGTTACTTTTTTACTCATAACTTCCTGTTGTCCTTCTGCTTTATTCAAAGTGGAAGTGGTAGCCAGTCCTAATGGGGTCAACCATAACACTTCACCAGCCAATCACAAGGCCACATCAGACCAACAACTACACACATCCACATACATACCTGTGGTTGATGTAGACAGTTCAGTTAACCTCGTAATCATTTTGTGGGAAAAAACACACACACAGATAGAACATGTAAACTCTATAAACAAGGACCAGGGATGGAACCGTGGTTCTATCCACATTTCAGGTCCAAAGTCAATCCAGAACGTTCTCAACAACAGCTTGGTGTAACATTCAGGACTGTGTTTGGAGCTGTGTGAGGGAACAATAATTAACAACGGCATGGTTTGAAGACACTCGTTACTCTGTGACTGGTAGAGAGCCTCATCGTCCTGTTCCTGATGTAGTGGATTTACAATACAGTTCCAGGACCTTGTCTTGTCTTGTCGAGGGGAGCACGTCAAAGACCTGTGGAAAGCAAGAAAGCAAGGAAGAAGAAAGAAAGAGCAGCCTCCAGTTCTCTTTCTTTTCCACTGATCATGTACAAGCAGGAGTGTGTTTTTGATCTCTCCTCTCCCCCTGAGAGCCTCAGCGAGGTGGGAGTGCTGTGTGACGACTGTGCTACACGTTAGCTCTGATTAAAGGGAAATATGCATCACTGTATAGGGCTTCGCTTTTTATCTGTGGCTGCGATGTGGTGCAATGGTGACACGCGATTGGGCCTGATATGTACTGATGTTGCAGCTCTTTTTTCTGTGTTCTGTCGGAGCTAAAAGCCACCTGAAGTTGACTCAGTCTTATCTGAAACCTCAGAGAGCCTGCAGAGTAGTTGGCAGAAGTTGTGCAGGTTGAGGTTGTTCAGTGTCAGGAGGAAGAAAGGGAGTTGTTGCTTGTTTGACTCAAAGCAGTGAAAAAAAATCACAGTAGAAATGCCCTTTGACCTGTGTACCTTCAAATCAATTAGAACCAAAGACCTGCATTCTACACGGGTGTGACGATGACGAGCCGGGCCGGGTCTGGATCTTAGCACAGGATGTTTGGTTGTGGTCGCAAGGAAACAAAAAGTGCATTCTTCACTGTGTAATTATCCCTTCAGAAAACCTCATAATTGATTAAAATCTCGGCCTGTTTAGTTGAAGACAACACTGATATACTGGCAGAAATTGAAGAAAGACACCCACAAATATCTTTTTTATAGTTTTCATAGCCATCTGCTGCCACCTAGCAGGAGAGTATTTAAGTAGTAATTGTTCTGCCTTTCATGAGCTTCATGCTTTGATGAGCAATAAATAAATAATAGTTTTCAACCCAATTAAGTCAAATCAGATCATTTTCCATGGTACACCTAATGATCTTTCGCGGCACACTGGTGGGCCACGGCCCAGTGGTTGGGAATCACTACAACATGTCTATGCAAACCAACAGCAACAGACTTTTTCAATCAGCTGCACCACAGATGACCACAGGAAGTACTTCCTGCCCAGGGGCCAACAGACTCTCTAGCTCCCCCCACTGTGTGCCATCAATATTACACATAGCCTAACTCTTAGTCTAATCTGTAAAAAGTGTACATTAATACTTGGTGCTGCATATACAGTATATTGACTTGACATACATAAGTGAGTTCCTCTTGCCATTTCGATTGAACTGTGATTCCAACAAATTTCTCATTACCTGGCCACCAACCAAATGTCTGTATTAGAGCCTAGCCCATACTTGATAGACAACAGTGTTTGCCACTGAGGGTACAGCGTAGAGTAACAGTAAAGAATGACTGAACTGGTTGTTTTTGAACCGTATCCAAAGTCATGCAGAATAAAGATGTTTCTTTTGTCTCTCTACAGCTCGGTGTCGACTCCTGGAGCTGCCACTCTAGTCTATTTAATAAGAGATAATTGCAGATCAGGTAAAAACTAGAGGAGTTTGCGTTGAAGGACTGTTTTGTGATGCAGTAGACGACAGATGGACGGTCTTTGGGGAGGGGAGAAGCACAGAGGTGAGGCATATGTGCGCTCAATAAAAGCCCTCTGGCAAACCCACTTAGCTGACCCTAACTCTGGACACACACACACGCGCTCACACACATACTCCTACCTATTAGGGAAGAATATCAATTAACTCCATTCTCTGAATCTCTGCTGATGGATGTGACTCTCATTCGGTCTGACTCCACATTCATTTTGATTTCTGTTAAAAAGACAGGACATTTACGTCTTCGTGCTGTCGTCTGTTATGTGAAGAGCTTCTTTATTTTATTTTATCGTTTTTTTTTAGCTAAAGTTGTAAATAGCTGGTTAAATGGAAACAAAAACATTTGTGAACAATTTTCTGGTTCAAGGTCAACTTTGTGTCCAGGTCTTTGGTTAATGACCAGTGACCAGAAAACAATTGACACCTCTCCAGCTAATGAAAGGCTACATGCCGCAGGGATGAGTTTTGTTTTTATTTATTTTTTCAGTCCAACCTAGGACAGAGTAAAAAAATAATGGAAATATTATTAAATGGCTTTTGGATTATGGATTATTATAATTTCTAACCTTAACCTGAATAATCTTAATTTGCCAACCAGCTTTAAAAAGATATTTTATTCCAATAATAATGTCTTTTTTTAGCTACTGATAAATATTGCTACCCTTTTTATTGGATCAATCTGTCAATCATTTCTCTGTTCAGTTTAACACTATGAAAAGCAGGTGAAAAAAATAAATAAATGTGTATGAAAAAGTAACTCACCCTGCGTGTAAAACTCATGTCTTTTCCAATTTCATGACAGCAACGGGTTTCACTTCCTGGAAGGGAGCCTGTGAGGACGAGGTCAACGGCATCTTAGGAGAAATCACAACATCTTCAACAAGGCATCGATTCATTCTTTATTCTGATAAACATCTGGTTCTTCAGATACATAAACAGTCACAATCACGAGCACTCTTTTCTCTACCACAGTCAACACACCGAGTCAAAAACATTACACCACCTAATGTAAGTTTCAATTTCGAGACTTGTGCCGACTATCATAAACCTTTTTTTTTTCTCTAAACTTAACTGAGGAAAGACGGCTCTGAACCTTAATGATGTCAACTCCTGGGTTTTTTGCTGAGGTCATGAAAACAAAGGACAGCTCACTGATGAACACATGGTATTAAATAAACGGCAGGAGCCTTTACCTTTAGCCGCTCAGTGTGACATGTGCACATCAGTGTCTGCCCTTCGTTCCCAGGCCTGTGTTTGTGTCCGACACATAAGGACAGCTCCGCATGGCTTCTGTTGCCAGTCCTGACATTTTTGTGCTGTGTTATTATCTCTGTTTCATTCTTTCCCTGTAATAGAACAAAGCAGCTGTCACTAGTTACTCCATGTAAATATATATATTTTTTCTCATATAAGTATATATTCATATATATCTATATATACTATCTATAGAAGTCTATATAGAATATGCATTTGGTGGTTTTTAAAAAAAAACAAACATTCAGGTACATTCACTTTACCCTGTGATTTCTTTTCTTTTTTTGCATATAAAAGATAAACGTCGATTCTAATATCGCTACAGTGTGACCACCTAACCCAGAAATACGACACAAGCATCCCAAACTTTTGTAGAAGCAAACATAACAAATGTCTGGGGCGCTGGAACCAAGTACCAGCCACAGGCATAGATATACTGAAGGAACTGCATCCACCTAGAATATAAAATAGCATATTTTTCTGGACTCCACAACAAAGTTCATAATAACTCTAACAACAGAGTTGGGTTGCACACAATTCCACAGGTGTGTATATGAGCTGGCAACAACAGGTAGGCATCTGATGGTTTTATATATATATATATATATATAAACCAACAGTATACTGTCAGTAGGAACAAGCTTAAATGCAAAAATCACAACAATTACGGGTGTGAACAGACCCTTGGCATAACACAGAATACACATACAGGCATTAATCAACAAGCCGAGGAGCTAAACCTGACCTACGGAGAACCACACCGGGCCTTTCACATCACATATAAATAATGCTTATTTTTAGAAGGGCTCAAAAATGTTGGTAAGGGTTCTACATGTTACACTGCCAGTGGCGGTTAACAATAACACATAAGACCCTCCAGAAAAGAACTGACAGGGTGGTGAAGACGGCCAATCAGTAAGTGCCTTTTCTTTTTTAATGTTTGTTGTAGAAGAAATAATGTGATGTGCTTCCATCAACAAGGACAGTACCAGGACTAGGTATATGTGCTTTTTCAACGTAGGAACTAAAGAGATGGTGGTACCGTTATTTAGGCTACAGCAATAAGCATGTCGCCATTTTTTTTTTTTTTTTTGGAGCACAGATAACTCTGAACACTGCACCAACTAAGACATCAAAGGCATTTTTGTGCTCTTTTGTTTTGTTGGCCCTTTTTTCCACAATTTACTTCCTTGACAATAGTTCCTGGAATAAAAGTGTAACTTAATGTATCCAGTTACTTTCCACAGCTACATAATACATTTCACAAAAATACAGCCTCACTGTGTACAAGCTTCAAATCAGTTCAATTTAAAATGCCACATACTGTTTATACCACAGTGGAATTTAAGCCACAAAGAGTTCACCAACTGTTGACTTAAAACCAAGCCAAATTACTTTTCCCTTTTCAAATGCAAAAGTGTGATGTGTAAAAATACAAAGTCAGAGCTACATTTATAAATAACTCTTAAAATTTACTAATGTTTTTAAAAGGAAAAATGAGTATTTAACTTTAAAAAATTACCAAAAACACTGGTTACAGTTTTTTTCTGAGCCACATCAAGATCCCAGATCATTGCTATTTTTGAACCTATCTAGTATCTTTTATATAGGACGACCTTTGCTCATACTTAAAGGACATATAATGACAACTTCCACAGTGTGGTTTCTATCTTTTTTACATACACTATATATATACTGAGACACTTAAACACAACCAAACATGGCTGTCTGCTGTTTAACAGTCTTTGTGCAGTACACATGTTGTGTACATATGTAGACTGGGTATTATAGGGAAAGTTTTACTGGAAATGTTTTCTGGGTCTGACAGTTTGTAAAGAAATGTTGTGGCATTTTGTATATGCAGAAAAAAAATCAATTTCTAAAAATATATGTATAACATACCTTTAAAACCAAAGGAAAAGTAAAATAAAAATAGTGCAATCACACGTGAAAACAAATTCTGACTTATTGGAGAAGAGTGAATTTCACCACTGATATTTCTCACACGTTGGACTATGCTACAAACCTTAGCTAGAAGAAGATGAAGTGATGCTAAAAGCAAAAGAAATACTCCCTGTGCTGCCGATTGATGATTGGACAAAGCTTGTGGGTCGGACCCACAGTAAAGGGCTCTGTGACCGTTCAAAGGCTGGACTGTTCAGTGTGGACTAGGAGCTGGTGTGTCCAACTCCCCGTCTGCTTCACACTCCTCTTGACCGGAGAAGGAGCTCAGAGCGTCCCACAGCAGGTCTGGTTGCTCACAGTGGTGGTAACACCTCCAGTGTTCCATCAGCACGTCTTTAGTGTCCATGACTTTACTGCACAGAACACAGTTGAAGGCAGAACCTGCTGCGAGGACACCGAGTCCTCCGCCACAGTCTGAGGAGGAGACGGTGCCACCGATGTCCTCCTTCCCACAGTGGTGTGACTTGACGTGTTTCTCCAGCTTGGAGAAGGAGAAAAACTCCTCATCGCAACTGCCGCATTTCACCACGTTGCGTTTCTTGTTGAGCTGTCGCCAGTAGTGGGCAGCATGTTTTACTAGTTCCTTCTCTGCCTGGCGGCAACCGCTGGCTTTCCAACCTTCAGGAGGTCCAACATGGACCTTTACCCTGTGCACGTGGAGCAAATGCATCTTCATGTCGGCAAATGTGGGAGTCACTGTCTGACAGCGACCACATTTGATCTGCAGCTCCACAGGATCTTCGCAGTCCTGCTCATCTGATGGTTCTGGTGCGCTGTCACTGATGGTGAAATGGACAGGTCATTAATATAATCTTTTTTTCCCCAAAATTACCCTTTATAAATAAAACATGCTACAAAAACATTCTTTATTAGAACAAAATGTAATCTTACCCCTCAGGAGAAACCTTAACCTCATGATGGCTAATGGAAGGCTCTACGGTCAGCACCACCTTGTGGACTTCCCTCAGATGACTAAAGTAAACACCCACATACCCAAAAGACTTCTCACAGAATTCGCAGGACAGAGATCGACGTGGACGCACCTCAGAGTGATGAAGCTTCATGTGTGTGCTCAGGCTGCCAGAGTGAGCGTAGGCTTTGCGACACACTAGACAAATGTAGGGCCGACTGTTGGTGTGACTGTTCATGTGACTCTGGAGATGATGCTTGAACTGGAAACAGCGACTGCAGGTCGGACAGTGATGAATGAGACGGCTTCCCACGAACATTCTCGGATGAGATGGAGCTCTTAGATGGAGGGCTACTGACGCTGACTGAGAAGGACCATCTGGAGATTTGGTTGTGGGAGTATTGGAAAACTGGTGACCAAGCACAAGCTCCTGTTCTTGGCCATCTGAGGTAATCGCAGGCAAACTAACCAGCTGGGGAACCGTTTCCATGAGTAAAATAGGCTTGGGTCTGATGCTGCGGTACTTTTTAGAAATATCCACTTCCTTTTGCTTGGAGGCTGGAACAACTGCTGGTGACTTCTCAGGGACCCTTCTTCGGAAGAAGGACAAGGATCGCTTTTTTCGGGCCTCAAACGCCAGCATGTCCTCCATTGTCTTCCTCTTCCGACCTCGCTTCTTACTTGGAGGCTTCTGAAGAATCCCAAACACAGGCACAACAGTGGTCTTGGCCTGGTTCTGCAAAGCAGAGCTTGATACCTGATTGTGACCCATGTTTTTGGCTGGCTCCACGGTGTTGTTTGCAGTGTTCATGGAACTTGCGTGTCCTGTCTGAAAAGACAAACCTTTCTTCTCAGGTGAGATGTTAGATGCGACCTTGGCAGCCGGGACAATAGTACTTTTCATTTTCAAGTATGGCATAATGGGAAGTTTCCCCTTGGGCGGCGTTGGAATAATCTGAACTGCTTTGCTGAAGATGGCTGGAGACAAGAGAGTGATGCTGCTCTGAGGCTGTGCTACAGTGGGCTTAGACTGGCAGAGACTGGCAGTGGTCTTACCGTCTTCTGAAGACTTACTCGGTGAGGTTTTGATAGAACTGGATTGATAATGGAAATTCTGTATGAAACCACCTGAAGCTGGTGGTTCAGACTGGTCTGTTGCCTGCTCCGGTTGAGAGCTGGGATATAGGACAGCATTGTCTGGAAGCAGTGCTGTTACAGAGATGTCAGAGGAGCCTGGGTTGATGAGGATTAGCTGCTCTGTGGGTTCCTCTTTGGGAACTATGGTTTCAGTGCACTTTGACTCCTGTTTTATCTCTGTAGTCGGTGGCACTGTGTTCACCAACAACTTACTGGTTGGGCTCACTGGCTTCATCGGAGATGTAGTGGCATCGCTGCAAGTCACCTTCGTCCTCACGGCTGGTGATGGAGGCTTTACCTTAGGTACACTCCCCTTGCTCCTCATTGGCTGGTACCTGGGGATCGGCAGTTTGAGATTCTTCTGGACTGACTGTGTTTGCTGCTGCTGCTGTTGTTGTGGTGGTGTTGTCTGAGAGGGGACAGAGGGGGGCAGTGCCACCAGGGAGAATGTGCCATCCTGACTTGCTATTTGCATAAGTGTGTAATTTTGAGTGGGCACAATGACAGATTTGGGGCTGGAGGCGGTGGTAGCCTCAGGAAGGGAAGAAGGACACTGACCAGGCAGGACTGCAGGGGAGGGGGACGGCACCACAGCTGGGGCCTTTGGAGCAATGCTCCGGAACTGAAGGCTCTTCATTAGTCAGGCTGGATCACACACCACCAACTGAAAGACAGAGATTACAACAAACCTTGGTTATTACATGAAGTCATTAAACCCCAGAAAAATCCCATTACTGGAAAAGTCTGTGTACTTTTTAAAAAGGACGTTAGCCTGTAATCTGTTAAATATAAACAAAAAGGAAATAAAGTCAATGTGTTCATTGATTTTTAAAAAAGGTATTTAGAAAGGAATATGTTAGGACCACTGGATCACATCAGCTTTTCTTTTCGAAAATCATTTGGCAAATGTAGGTATCATGTTCCCATATTAATTACACATTCTTACTAATGATTAAAAAAGCCGCTCAACGATCTTGATTATTTTTTTAGTGTGTCTGACATTTTTGATTGAAGACACCACAGCAAATAAAGTCTTTTGATTGTTTTACAATTAGTGTGCACATATTTTGGCAACAGACCTTGAATCCAGGCAATAACAATACAAATATCGCTATCATCTGAAGCCTCTTTTATTGAGGTATTCAGTTTAATGTCAACTTAATTTATAGAGAATTATTTGAAGTCATATCTGAATCACCTGGATATGTGGACAACATTGTTTAAAGTCTGACATTTCTAACACCAAAAAAAAATCATAATATGATTCGTTTAGATCACACTAACAAATTAAATGTCATATCAAATGTTCAAAAGACTCCACTCTGTCAAGAATGCAGGAGTCGGTATCGGTGTGACAAGCCACACATATGTGGTCAACATACAGCAGACGCTCTCTTTCCCCGAGCTATGGGCAGACTGCCCCCTTCTATTTGAGCCCAGCATGTAGTCATGGTCCATGCTGAGACCCTGTGAGGGGCTTCTTGCACCTCCCCTTATTTCCTGCAAAGATCAGCCAGTGGTGCATGAAGGCTGTCCAACAGCAGGATCTCGTAAATGAAGAGAAGATTCCCTCCCAAACCTCCTGTTCAATTGACTGACATTACGGCCTGGCCCGAGGCTACGAGGAAGTCCCTTCCACCATAACTGGGTAAATATTGATCGCAAACAATATTTTAGGATTACTTACTGACCACTATGGTTTTTATGCTCAGCCTGCAGGTTTCAAGGTGATACCAAAACCAATGAAACCTGACAAAAGTACAACCCTAGAGGGATGTAAAGAAATAATAATTAAAAAAAAAAACGGTTTTATTATCTCAATACAACAAACGGTTGCCATCCATCAATCAAAACTAAACGTTAGGGAAACAAACAAAGACAAATCTCTTTATATACTTTGATTTAAATGATTAGGTATGGTTTTAACAGTTTTAATGCTTTAAACTGTCTAATTGTCAACAGGTTTAAAAGTCAGATACTGATGCAGGCTCAGTTCCAACTTTGCACTCAAAATATTCATGCACACAGTAAAACAATCTGGAGGTGGTATAAAAGGAAAATATTGAAATAATAATTTCTTACAAAAAACAGTATTCCTTTTCAGAGCAGTCAAGGAGAGAGGCTTTATTTCGCTTGCAGAAAGAAAAGAAAAGAAAACTGCATAGGGCATATTGTTTAACAGCTGGAAATGTTTCTGTGGGGAGAGATTATTTATACTGTACCCCCACCGCATTACGACTCCATAAAACTGGATATATTCCTCCTCTATGTGGATAGCTGATTCCAACTCGACTGTGACTTTGGCTACAAACACAGTGGAATAAAACTGTGGGATGTGGGTTCCACTGGGCATTTAATGTGGCTCCAAAAGTAAAGAACTGGGTAGAGACATCGCTTGGCGTGTCCTTTTACCATGACGAAGTTTTTGAAAAAGTGAAAAAAAAGTGTGACATTAAAGAGAAAAAAAAGTGTGCATCAACAGCTGGAGAATCAGCCAGTGGGCCTGTTACCCTTTTGTCACAGATGATTCAGCAGACTTCATCTGACACCAGTACACACACCACACACACACACACACTCACACACACAAAAAAACAAGTTTGACCGTACATCTAGTTGTCCTTTTCCACCTGGAAAAGCAGGAAATGTTCTGTTTGCTCTTACCTCATGAAGTGATTTTTGCAACAAGTCCCTCTTTTGTTCAGGTGAATATATTAATTCGGGTGAAGGCTGGGCCAAACAAAAACATGGATTTACTTGAACAGCATTTTAAAACATTAGCATTATATTAAACTTTCATAAACATTGAGACAAACAAAATATCTTTACAGCCCAATGGTATTGTCCTCAATGACTGTACTACAAAACCACCACGTAGTTTTCAGACTCTTGTTATTTTGCAGTACAGTCCAGCATCAACTCGTGAACCACACAACGAGCCTATTTTGATGCAGCATCAGAACACATCCACACAATGTACAAGGGAAAACAAGGATTTCTTTATTAATGTAGGGCATCGTATATTAATATTTTAAAATGCTCTCCAGGCTACACTCTGTTCTACGTACTTCCTCTTTGTACTCCATAAAACCCTCGTGTGTGTCTAATCCTTGTATATTTTGCCATCTATTATTGGAGTGGGCCTCAGTGTGCAACCTCATTTGCATATTTAGCATGTTGGCAACTGTGTTTAGTATGTTGGCAACGAAAATATGTAGAGGGGCTATGGAAACAGAGTCAGACTGTCATTTCACATCATTCTCTGAATCCTGCAGTGATTCCTATTACAATCCAAGGGAAGAAAGAAAAGATGTGAACATTCTCAGCTATGCTGACAGCTTGAACCGAATACTGTGTGGTATCCTTATGTTTAGGGGCCACACAGTGAAAGGATAGTCACTGCAGTTCATCCCATGGCTCTAAATGACAGGCTCTGTTTAGAGCTGTGGGTTCCATGAACTGTGAGCTGTCGCATGCTAGGCTAATAGTCATATTTTAAAGCACTAAAAGTTAGCCTTTGGATTAGAAACCTTGTGTGATGATGATGCAATTAGCTACCGAGAAGCAACTGTCCTAAGTTTTTTTTTCCAAATTTCCTTGACTGCAAACTCAAGCCAAACTTTGAATATTGCAGAGTTCTAAACAGCTTTGCTTTATTTCTAAAGGGAACGACAGTGCGGTCTAGCAGAGGAGCAGACAGAGAGGTCACAGATGCTACTCAATCTGCTGCTGGATTTGAAACACCAACCACTCTAATCTGACTGAGGTCAAAGGTCAGAGCTAGGCTGATGCAAAAACCTCGTTTCTGGAGAGAAAAAAAAAGGGGGAGAGAAAGAGGTGGGGGTGATCCTCAGAGACAGATTATCAGGTAAAGCCAGAGGGTGAGAGGTGAGGATCTGCTGTTTACGCAGGAAACAGGTCAGGGTTGAACAGAAGGGCAGTGTGTGGACAGACCAGGCATCCACCTGGAATGGAATGACATAAACTGCAGAGTTGCACATACACACAAACTCCAGCTTACATCCTCCAATAAAGGCCCAGGTCACATGACAGTGGTTTCGAAAAGCAACAGGATGGTCAGCTGAAACAACTAGGTTACTGCTAGCTTGAAGAGCAGTTGAGTAAAGGGTTAATGCTATTCTGCATACTGGTTATATTTGGGATGGCCCAGAACCACATTTTCATGTCTACTACAGATACTACATATACAAATACTGCAAGTACATAGTACTACTATTTGCAAACACTTAATAGTTAAAACCTAAAACATAAACAAAATCTGTGTACCACAGTACAGTATTTGACACGCTTTACACAGGTGATATGATAACACAGCTAGGCTAATCGTCCGTTAAGCATATTCTGCCTTGGAGTCTCTGCTAATGTAGACCTGTCTGATCTGATCCATTAGCCAATGCTGAAATTGTTGGCAAACTTAGATCCAATTTTGGGCCCAAAGAACTGGATAGTAACTATGACTGATACTGTCGCAGTTTTGAAAAAACAAAGATTTAAACATTAATGTATACAGTAAGAATTGAGGACAGTGTTTATTGGTGGTACAGATATTTTATATTAATAATAATAATAATGATAACAATCTATCGTTTTTGGAGAAAAGCTGAGAACGGTGTGAGGATTGTTTCCATCATGTATGTGAGACTGATAGTCATCTGAGACTCAAAAGAAGAAAGAGGGGGGACTGGAATGAAGTGTGTGTGTGTGTGTGTACATATGTGGGAGGGTGGGCTAAAAAACCCAGCAGAGGTCCAAGCTCCCCCAGGTTTTAGCCCAGATGAAAGGCCAGGATCTGGGCTAGATAAGGAGGCAAATCACAGGGGGTCGGGGCCATCAGGCTGTTAGGAAGCCATGTCCAGCGGCCATCTTTATCATGCTCACCCCCCCCCCTCCCCCCACACACACACAAACACAACCACACATGCGGGTCAAATGACGTGACAGACAATGACAGGGACGAAGGGGAAGATAAATAAAATTATTCTAGCTTTTTTTTATCCTCTGCAGTGAATGTAGGTTTCCTGTGCATGATTGCGTCTTTATTGCATGCATGCTGGCCACTTACTGCAATTCAGCCCAACACACACGCACACACAAGCTAAGGTCCAGCTGCTTCTTCTACCTTTAGCCAAACGACAGCCGCAGTGAAAGGTGATGCAAGAGAGAACATTACAGCACCATATGGTATTCACGGCATGCACACAGACACATATACAAAACCGTATGTCATCTCCTGTCACCTGAGTAAATCAATTCAGGGGAGAAATCCATTCCAATTAGGTTTCGACTGCTCTGCCCTGCATGTGGATGTGGATTAATCGATACAGAAATCCCACCGCTAAGCTGCCGTCTCTGTGTTAGAATAAGGCCATATAGTTGTTTTGTTTGACTCCCTGTAATGATGAAAAGGAAAGAAAAATGTGCAATCACCTTCATTTATATTTAAACCAGAATAGGTTCCTACTAATTCACAGAAAGTCCACAAAAAAGGCATTACACTGGAAGGATAAGATGCCTTGTGAGGTAAACACGTTTAAAGACAGGATGCTATAAACCCCCAACAACCAGTAACCTTTGACCTGATGTCCAACCGGGCTGTGTGTCATCCCTGGGAAGTTGTAACACCTTCAATCACCTTTGCTGGTAGATGAATGCTGGTACATGACTTATGGACAGCGCGCAAAGACATACACACGTACAAAGCTGTCCACAGTTGAGTAGAACCGATGTGAAGCTCAGGTGACAACAGTGTGTCCAAGAGTGTGCATGTGATTAAAGGTCTGTACAAGGTTTGACTTGTGAATGTGCTTCACCCTCAGGCAGCCTCAGGACTGTGTGAGCCTTTCAGAATTCCCCCCTAACTGAACATCATCTGACCTTTTTCCCCCCACTGTGACATTTAGGTTCTCCTGAATAGGTCAAACGGCACTAAAGACCGTTAGAAAACAAAAACACAAGTAAGAACGAAACTGAAATAAAGACAACAGAACTTGATCAGCACATTCTTTTAACTCACATCTCATCAACTAAAAGGCTACATAACAACAGACAGACATAAGGATTACTCCCTTTTACTTTCAGACGGGTTTTTATCAGTTGAAAACTCCACTATCAGGTGTGGAAGAAAAGTGCCGTAAACATTTCAGATGCTTTTAAACCAGTCAGAAAAAAAAAAAAAAAAATCCCATTTACACTCACTAACATGTGGCTTTGTCTGCTGCGTGGGTGGACACAGTCAGCATTCACAGCCAGGTCAAATGTCTCTGCAACAGATACCAGGTTTTATGGGCTGCAGCTCGAGGTGGCAGTTATGTGACACTCAGGTAAACACAGTATTTTTCACTTCTTCTACTAATTTTGACAACCCAGTCTAAGTCTGTTTCCACCTTCACCTTGTTTAGCCTGACAGTCTGATGTAAAAAAAAAAAACAAAAACAAAACAAACAATGGTCCTTAAGCTGAAAAAGACGGCAATACACCAGTCAATCATAACATAATAGGAAACAGCCTTGCATTAAGAGAGCTCCATTTTAGAGCCACCATCAACTCCTTTTGCGAATTTGAAGTACTACAGTTCATCTGTTGGATCAGATGACAGAGATTAACTTTTGAATCCCATGTGCAAAAAATGTACAAACTTTACTAACTTCCTCTTTTCCCCTTCGTCTTTGGTCAAGCTTTTATTGGCCTTTGGTCAATTGCAGACATATTGGAAACTGGGGCTTGGTGCTAAGTGCTAACTCCAAAAACTAAAAATTCTCAGCATTCCCATCGTTCTTAAAATGGAACGAGAGCTTCGGCTTAATAATGTGCTTGGACAGAGAGGGGGAGAAATGAGAGATGATCAGGTCATGGCTACATGTGCTCTGTCTGTCTTAGCAATTATGCAAAAGTATTGCCACACAGTTGTGTTCTGGTTGCATGTAAATATAAGCGTACAAACTCTAAACGAAGTTACTTCTTCCTGTGACTGTGTCTTCAGACAAGAATAAAGTGTCTGATGATTCTACGTACGAGAGGAAAGGTAGATATCAGAAAGTAGGACGTGGAGGATTGCGAGATCATTAAACCTTCAGAGCCTGCACAGGTAAACAACAGGACAACTCCACCTCCAGCCTCTGATGGGGTCTGCAAGGAATTCATAAAAGTTAACACAATCAAGGCAAAGTGACGGCACTGCCAACTCAACTGGGACACGAAGGAGGCACCTGCATCCTGGTCTCCACTTAATGACTGCTCAGCCGCCGGGGGAACTTAGATGGGGCCCCTGGAAGGAAGAAAGGGGCGGTGGAAGCTGCCAGTTAGCTAATTTTAGGAACTCTGCATCGCTGATGAAAATACAGAGAGGAGGTGTGGTGAAATGGGGAAGTTTTTGGTTTCCTTCTCAACTTTTGTGAATTTCATTGTGGTTAGTTTCATTAGCGAGTGAAGGATCACTTCACCACAAGACTCTGTTTGATTACTCTCTCTCTTTCTTTCTCTCTCTTTTTTATTTTTCTGTCTTCCTCCTCTGCTCTGGCTCCCTCTTTCATTCTCACCTCCCTCCTCTTCTGCCTGTACCTGTCTAAATAAACAGCGCTGTGTTGGATGCTAATTAGAGCAAGTTCAGGGACGTGATAAGCCAGGAGACAGATAAACAGCAAAGTGGGGAGGAGACAAAATGATATGGATGGGGGTGGAGGTGGGGGTAGCCCACCCCAAGGGCAGAGCAACACAACACAGACACAAACATACTGGCTTTGCAGTGAAAGGCAGTGCAAAGTGGGGGTTTTTTTTCTATCTACAGTATCTGTGCATAGAAAAGCTAAGGCCAGCAGTAAGGTAGGGGATTTACCAAAGGTGGTTAAGCGAAGGGTTTAATTAGACCATGAAGTAGAGATTTGGCCAGAGAAAAGTGAGCGACATCCGTCTTATATAACGATGGCTGCTCCATGTTACTCAGAGTGAGATGAAAGAATTATGCAGATGAAGCCGGCAGTTCTCCTGTTAGTGTGAAGTTTGCTTCATAAAACAGGTCAATTCAAAGCAGAGAATGTTTATATTATATAAAAAGTTAGGTGTAATCTTGAGAAGGTCACATTACCTACAAAAACAAGTACAGTAATATCATATATGTTTGAAAATACAATTTTTGTCATTTCCAGAACTAAAAACTTTGGTAGTTTTGTAAAGAAAAACTTTTTTTTTTTTTTAAATATCAATTTGAAAACGTTTTGACACAGTACATCCAATACAATAACAACAGTTATTTCCAGTGACCAAAGTTCTGCCAACGACCGCCCCAGAACTGCATCATGTCGAGTTGTTTCTGAACAGAAACATGAATCCTCCATCATCTCTTCATGCCATCTCACTACAAGTCTCTAAAAGAGTTTCTCCCCCTTGACGGCAAAAACTCTTATCTTCAAGGTTGTAACGAGGTAAATTCTTCATGTCCCCCCGTCTCTGGACTGCAGAAGTTAGACATCTGTGAAGGTGTCTCTGCTGAGTTATCAAAAAGATTTTAAATTCCGTTTGGCGAGACCAAAGGCCGTCAAAGAGCATAATAATCAGCGCTGCCGCTATTAAATAAATATATTAAAAAAAGCTGTTGAATTGAACAGAAAGGTTCTGCTCTATTTGGGAGGAAAAGGTGCAGAAAGACACCCAAGGAAAGATGATGAACTTGTGTATTATTAGTAGCATGGACAGGCGTGATGCTAAGTGATGATGTAAACAAAGCATTTAATGTCAGTCAGACATGTTTCGTGATTTAAGGAGATCTTAAGATCCCAGATTATGGCCAGATTGGTCATGGCAGGTGTGGGGTAAACCTCACCATTACAAGGACCGGCGTTCATAAGCTTTTAATCTTACGTTAAATCCAGCACAAATACAAATGGAGTGTGGAAGATAGAGAGAGCATCACAACAGATATCTAAGAGATTGTGACGAGAGGAAATGGAGGAAATGTGATGGCTGGATAGATGAGCTATTTTTATAATGAGGTCAGTGTGAGCTCAGGGATTTCTTTTCTCCAGGGAGACGTGCGCACACATATCCACACACAGGAATTGTGGCAATATATTACTCTTCTTTCATGGGACCACCTCTGTCCACTGGATTTGAGGAGCAGGAGACAGATGAGGATTAAAAGAAGCAGATGTGGTGGATTTATAGGTTTTGACTATTGTCCAACTACTTTAATTTTCTAGCTCAGGCATTTTAGCTTGAAGAATGACTCTTTACTTGTTGAACAACTCGAACATTTCTGCATCTTCTGCATGTTTGTCTGCTGTTATAGAACCAACCGTCACCGCAACACCTACTTTTACAACCATTTGTTGGTGTCATTTTGGAGGCGGTGCGCTGTCTATCCATCCACTGTTTTTTCTATGCTCAGGATGACATCGAATCCTGGAAACAATCCTAACAGTGACTAGATTAAGGCAGGGTGAACATTTTGCAGGGTCTATTCCAGGGCCACATATTAAGACAATGAAACATTTACACTGATGCTGTTGCAAATTTGGTGTCTAATAATGTAAAAAAAAAATAAAATTAACTCCAAAATATTATTTACTTAGTAATTTATCAAGAGAAAATATGTTTTTATCTTAAAACTTCTGAGCTGTCATTTACCTACTGGGTGACTGCGTCTCCTCTTCCTGGGTGGTGAACGTCCCCTTTTTGCTGGACTCCACTCTGGAAGACAAAAAAAAAAAAAAAAAAGCACTATAATTTTAAAATAAATCCATGATAGACCTGAACTTACAATCTTGGATTGTGCACAATGCTTTAAAAAGGTGATTCTCAACTGGTAGGTGGCAACCAAAAACTGGGTCGTGAACTACTTTTAGTGGGTTGCCGGCCTTTGCCATCATAGAAGAAGACACGCAAACCATAGCTATAAATGTGAATTGAGCATGGTGTAGTATTGGTACGACACAGGCTTCTTACATTGAGCACTAAGGTGGATAAAAACCTCAGGGTGTTTTGTGTCTTGTGCAGTGAGGTGTTGTAAACGAATGAAGCTGTCAAAACTGAAGCGGCATTTGGAAACAGAGGAGCTTTCTCTTAGATAATAAAAGAGTGTTACACAGATGGGTTCAATGAAAGGAATAATTTCCCTTATAAGGTTAATAGAACTGAACAAAAAAACAATTTAGAGGGTTCAATATGTTGACTTATATACATATATATGTGCTTATTTCAAAGTTTGGCCAGGAGCTTAATCCATAAATGACAGGAAGTACTTTGTGACAGTGCAGACGACAAGGTGTCTCTGATGTGATCTGTCTACGTCAGGGTAGAAACAGAAACACAGTGTAAAGGGAGAGTGCACAAGGTCTTTTTCTGCTTTTTTCCTTCTTCACACACACACAGACAGGAACACACAGGCACACATATACACTCTAAACGGCTGTCTTTTTATTTAGCTGAGCGAGCGCTCGTTTAGCTGTGTCTCTGTGTCTCAGTAGTTGGGGACGCAGGCTGCCCACTCAGTCAGATCCAGCCATATTAAATAAATAAGGAGTGCTCTTCTGTGTAAATTATTCATTTAACATGCCTTATCCTCTTCAAAAAACCTTGTTAGAGCAGCTCAGGAGCAGAGGGGGTGAGGCGGTGGGGGACAGGCGGGGGGGGCGAGTGGAGGGGAGCAGGGGGGCGGCATGC